GTGGTCAGCCAAAGAGATACTTCACTTTACTCTCTCATTTACTGAATCAACGAATTAATGTGCTGAGCTGTAATGTCTCCTCCCTGGACTACACAGTGGCCTTTTGATGGCCTCCCTGCTTCCACCCTAGGCCCCGATGGTCCCTTCTCCACCCAGCAGCCAGAGCCATCCTTTGGAAAGCTAAGTCAGACTTGTTCCCCACTCCCCTGCTTAGAGCCCTCTGAAGTCTCCCCATCTCATTCAGGGTAAAAGCAGAAGTCCTCACAAAGGCCTACAAGGCCCCACGTGAACTGTTCTCCATCACCCCCTCCTGGCCTCCTGACCTCATCTTCTGCTCTCCTGAGTACTGGCTATGCTCCGGCCACATTGGCCTCCTCGCTCTTCCTGACGCACATCACACAAGCTCCTACCCCAGGGTCTTTGCACTGCCTGTTCTCTGGGCTTGCACCCTCCCTCCCCTAGATATCCATGAGGTTCATTCCCTCACTTTCTTCAGGTCACCACTCAAATGCCACATTAGCACTTAGCCCCTCTCACCCTAAAGAAGAACCCCCCACCCCTACGTCCCCTGTTTCCCCCTCCCCGCCACTCCTTTTGTTCCTCTCTGTAGCATTTACCTGATAGAAGATATATTGACTCTGTAATGTATTCATTTTTGGTCTTCTCCCACTAGATGTAAGCTTCCTAAACAAAGGCTGTTTCTGTTCAGCTCTGTGTGGTGTCCCTCAGCCTGGTCGAGGGTCTGGCATACAGGAGGATCTCAGTAAATATTTGTTGTTGAGTGAATCCTAACTATGTACCGTCAGGCAGCCAACTGTAGCTGTTGAGGCTGCAGCTCGTCAAACATGGGGGAGAGCAGTGGGAGACAAGGCTGCAGGGCCAGTTCCTGTGAGTCCCATAGGCCTATGCAGGACTTGGTGGAGCTGAGAGGAGTATTGGCTGGATAAGAGGATTCTATGGACTGTGTAACTACAGTCCCTTAAACCAAACAAGTGGCTCAGGGAAGGTTTTGGAAGGACATAAGGTATAAGCTAATATTTCAAAGGTGAGTAGACATGAAGCAGACAGAGGGCATGGGGAGAAGAGGGTTCCAGAAAATGAGAAGAGCCTGCAGGGAAAGCTGTAGTAGGAGAGAGCACAGTGTATACATGAAACTTGAAACAAGTTCCATATGGCCGTGGGGACCAGGAGAGGAGGAGGGGAGAGGTGAGCTGGAATGAAGGCAGGGCCAGTCCAGCAGGACCTGGTGGGTCTGGACTTCATCTAGAGGCTTCATGGAGAAGTGGTCGTGGTGCCATGACTGGATGAGGGGCAGTGAGGGGACCATGGTCACAATCTGGGCATAAGACCATGGCTTTGGGACTGGTAGTAATGGATGTGGTAGAGTCTCGGTATGTTCAAGATGGAAGGAGGATGGTCACAGACTGGAAGTGGCAGGTGCAGTCATGGTTTGGAGAAGGAAGAGTGCTTACTTGGCTGAGGAATCAGGAAAGGTGCACGGAGGAGCCGCGTGCATGCTGGGTGTCTGGGGATTGCTGCAGGGGGAAGGTGCAGAAGCACGGAGCCCAGAGAACTGGCCAGCACCAAGTAGTCTGATCTGGATGGAGCATGGGGCTCACGCAAGGACCTTCTGAGAGCAAAGAGTGAAACAGAGTGGGGAGTTGCACAGTGCATCCGAGCTCCAGAAGAAGGAGCCTCCGCTGAGTCAGCTGGCTGTGGAGAATTGTCAGAGGCCTCTGAGTAGACAGGTAGTGATCTGGATTGTTCCCTCGGTTAATCTAGCGGGGGACTCCAAATCATCCAAACAGAATGACTTTTGCTTACTGAGTAATTTTATTAAGCAGAAGAAGTTTAATTGTCAGATTTCCACTTTACTGGATGCAGGTAGATTTAATCTAAGAGGAGACACCTGCGGATATCATCTGCCTGAGGATGTCACAGTCCTGTCAGCTGTTTCTCACTTTCCCTGGGGGATTCGGGGCCTAGCTCTCAGCTGCTGTTCATAGCAGAGGCCACCAGAACATTGCCAAGAGCGTCAAAGTGAGACAAACTGGAGTCTTCATTGAAGAGTAGACGGGAACAAGAAATGCCTTCATTCCTCACCTAATGTGTAAATGCAGGAATATGACATAAAAGAAAAAAGGTTGCTGTTAAAAGAGGGGATGAGGGAGGCTTTAGGACACTTTCATTTATTCAGAGGTAATAGTATTGTCTTGATAATGATGAGTCACACTGGGTGCCTTTGAATCCCGGGTCTGCATCTTGTGAGCTGTGTGGCTTTGTGCGGGGATCCTAGCCTCTCTAAGCCTCAGTTCGCTCATCTGTACAGAGGGAATAGCAATGGAGCCTGGGCTGTTGTAATGCTTAACTGAGATAATGCATGTAAAGTGGTTGGCACAGTGCCTGAACCAGGACCTGAGCCCAAAGAATGTGTATTAAGGTACAGGGCCACAGACTCTGGTCTAGAGATGTTCCAGAAAGCCCCCAGGAAACAAGGACAGATTTCTGGAGCTGTTTGCCCAGGCCCAGAGCTCAGGGAACATGGCGGGGGGTGGGGGGTGGGGAAGGGTGTTGAGTAACGGGATTTGAGGCTGGGGTGTTGGGCTTGAGCAGATCACAGAGGGCCTCAAGGACCAGCCTGAGCAGGCTGGATTTTTATCCAGTGTAGGCTGTGAGCAGGCATCTGGCATTTTCAACGAGGAAATGAAATGATCATATTTGGATTTTAGAAAGGTGGTGCTTGGCTGGGCAGGCAGTTAGGAGGCTGTGTCTGTGGTCTGGATGAGGGGTTGTGGCGGGCGAGGGCAGTGGCTGGGGGGACAGGGAGAAGTGGCCAGGCTCAGTGGGCATCTTCGTCAGAATCAATAGGACATGGGGTTGTGCGGTGTCGGGAAGGGTGGAGTTAGGGTGAAAGAAACCAGGGCTGTATCAATACAGATGTGATGCCCTCCAGGATTTCAGAGGATGACCTCATTGCTTCCTGCAGCATCATCACTATCAGAGAACATTTTTTTTTAATATTTTATTTATTTAATTGAGAGAGAGAATGAGATAGAGAGAGAGAGCATGAGACAGGGGAGGGTCAGAGGGAGAAGCAGACTCCCTGCCGAGCAGGGAGCCCGATGCGGGACTCGATCCCGGGACTCCAGGATCACGACCTGAGCCGAAGGCAGTCGCTTAACCGACTGAGCCACCCAGGCGCCCTCTTATTAGATTTTCTAACCATCCTTGTAAGCAATGCATGTTTGTTTGTTTTCTTAACCCATTTTCAGATGAGAAAAACCTGCCGGAGACAGCTTCCGAATGTACAGAAATGGCCCATCTTCATGGCACCCATTCCAGATTCTCAATTTCTCTCTGATTTGTCCACTTCCTTCCATCCCACTGATGCCGACTTAGTTGAGGCCACCATCACCTACCCCTCGGATCTGGGGAGGAGTGTATAAACCCCCGAGTCCCCAGATGTCAGAAGATGAACCTAAGCACAGAGAAATTCAAAAGCACATCCAAGTTAAAATAACTGACAGGGTCTCAGTAAATGTCTGTTGTGACTGAGCAAATCCATCAATGAGAGTGTCAGTGTGGATGGAAGAGGATGTGGATGGATCAGAAGAGACTCCTCCACATCTCTGAGAAGGCACGCGGTGTTCATGCCCCGCCAGTGGGAAATCAGCAGTTGGGTCTCCTCTCATGAAGGGCAGCCTGCAGGCGGGCTCTCTCTGCCCATGCCTGCCTGCTTGGTGATGTACTAGAGGAGGAGGGAGGCTGGAAGAGTTTGGTGAGATGAGAAAAGTCCCTCGAAGTAAAAGGGAATGAGTTGTCAGGACAATCAGTGGTAATAACGGGTAATGTTTATTGGGCCCTTACTAAGTGCAAGGCTTTGTTGCAAATTATCTGCTTATGTTTACTACTAGATTTTACAAGAATTCTCTAAGGTAGGGGTTATTATTCCCATTTTACAAATGAGGAAACTGAGTCATTTGAATGTTAACTCGCCTAACTAAGGGTCCCCAGCTGACAAGTGGCTAAGTTTGGATCCCTCTAATCCAGGTAGCCTAGCTCCAAAGCCCTTCCACGGAACCCCCACATCATTCTGCCTCTCCACAAACATCATCTCTGTAAACACCAAGGATGAGGCCTGCTGGCTGTGTCTTCACCTTGGCAGATGGCTTTCCTTCCAAGTTTCTTGCAAATCTGCATGAATATCCTAGGCAACACTGCAGATGAGCCGAGCATATCCCCGGCCACGGGTTGGGCTTCATCCTCCACTCAGCAACATGATGGAGCTCCTCGCAGGTGCCAAGCCTGGTGCTGGGTCCCTGCTCTCGGGGAGCTTACATTCAAGTAGGGGAGGCAGAAAATAGGCACACAGGGAGCAAGTGCACAGGATAATTTCAGAGTGTGGAGTGAGAAGAAGACTGGTCAGAGAAGGGCTCTGGGCAGATGCCTGAACATTGTAAGCAAAGGAGCCAATCCTGTGGGGATGTGGATGAGGCTGCATTCCGGGGCGGAAGGAACTACCTTACAAAGGCCCCCGGTGGGAGTGAGCCTGGGGTGCTTCAGGAATAGGGAAAAGAATTTTAAAAAGCCAGCGTGGCTGCAGTCTGGTGAGTAAGGGTGAGTCACAGGAGAGGAAGACCAGGAGGTAAGAGCAGGGACCGGTGACATTCCAGGCGCAATGGAATCCATTGGAAGGCTTTAAGTGGCAGGGCTGACACATTCTGCATCAGCCTGTGCTCCCCCCACATTGTGAGCAGGAGGGCGAAGCACGGGGCAGCCAAGTGAGACCCCTCAAAGTCCAGCGCCCCACTGTCACCCCCGTGCTCACCTCCCCCAGCTCCCAACACTGGTATCTTCTCCAGGGTCCCGACTGACTCCCAGTAAGTCATTGCAATCAAGGACGTGTGTTTTCCATTTTCTTTGGATTGCTCTTTGTAAAATGCAGTGACTGCGCTCCCAAATTTTCCCGATGGGTAACTGACTCTTGTGTTGACTTACAGATCATAAGGCAGCAGTTTCCTCAGTTAACCACCAGAAGACTCGGAACCCGAGGACAGTCAAAGTAAGCACCGGCGGCCGTCCCATCCGCAGAGCACGCATCTCTGAGTCAGGGGGGCACCCCCAGTCTTCTATCCTGAGCTCCGTTCACAGGCCTGGCGGGAGGTCTGGACCTGGCACGGAGGAGCTTTAGACCTTGGGGGCCCCTCTCCCGGGACCCCTGAAACAGACGCTGTGGGAAGGCCCAGGGCCATCGGACCCAGTCAGCTGCTTTAAGGAATCTGACTTTATGCCACCCTGCCTTTAGGTGTTCTTGTCAAATGGTCTTGGGCATCACTTAAAAGAGCACTGGGTGGCTTCCTGGGCCATCTCTAGGTTCCTTGGATTGCTTTGCTGAGCACATTTTCTACTCTGATAGTATCCAGTCGACCAGAGAAGCAGCCTGCACCAATCCCTGCAAGGGAGATGGGGTGGAGAGGTCCAGCCAGGCGCTGGTACACAGGGCGTGCTGCCAACCAACCCGCCCGTGTTTGCTTTCACACTTTCTGTGTGTCTCATGTACAGTGCAAGGTACGGATCACCTGCCCTCATGGAGCGTGTACTCTGGTGGGGAAGACAGATCCAAACGAGATACTCAGATTGTGACAAAGAGGCTTGTCATAGAGAATAACAAAAGGAGAGTGGCCTAGTTTAGAAAGGGTAGCCCGGGAAAGGCCTTTCTGGAAGAGTCCTGAAAAGTGAGAAGGATGAGTGGACCCCTTCTTCTACGTGGGAGTTGGTGGGAATGGAATCTCTTCACTGTACAGGCTTCACTAAAATCTGGATTTATAAGATTTGCCTCAAAGCATGTTTCAGAAATCATTGGACGGTAGCAGGTGTTCCATGGAAAAGCTCTTTTGGCCACGTACGTTTGGGAAGCACGGAGTTCAGTAGGTTTCTTTATGCAGGACTTCTCAGAACCTTTATTATGTTGATATACACGGTGACTCCACTAGAGGGTGCCTTATTATGTAGCATTTCTAAATATTTTGACCATGTTGAGTAGCAGACCAGCACATACGGACTTGCAAAATACTGACACTTTACAAAACAAAACCAAAAACGACCATACAGGACTCGTAAGACTTGAAACAAAGGGTTTTACTTCAAAAACAGCATGTCCCACAATATCCCCTCACTCCCCCTGCTCCTGCCATCCCTGGGCAGCATTCCCATCCTCCCAGGGTGGATTTCACTTTGGAGCTAAGTTAGGAAAAAAAAAAAAAGTAGATGATCAAACTGGGAAAACCCCTTTTTGGTAAATCTCTGACAATAACAAGACTCATTGTGTTTGTGTGTGTGTGGCTTGGAAGCTCTGGGGGCAATTTCCAATGAGCTTACAGAAAATTTTGAGCAGGGGACATTTTGGAATACATTTCTAAGAATTTTCCAAGGTGACTGCTCTGAAGAACAAATCTCATCTCATCTATAAAGAAAAAAGCCAGTATTTGTTTAAAATTGAGGCTTCAGCCTTGGTAAGAGTATAGATACAAAGCCACACCCCTCCTTACTTATTTGCTGGTAAGCCCAGTGGTTGGCCCACGATGGGCAATTCAGTCCACAGATTCAAGAGAGTGGTTGGAAGAGTATTGAATGAATGGAAATGAATGGGTCTTTAAAGAGTCGCTGGCTCCAATACATTGTTGCTTATCTCTAAGATAGAAGAGTAGAAATAAGACTGCAAAAATAGATACTACATAATAGAGACAGGGAGGAAAGATAATAAAGATAGAACAGAACCATTTCCCCATCCTTTATAAACTTGGAGAAAGTTTCCTTCTGCCTACATGTGAGAGCCTGTTTTTGTTTTTTTTCTTCTTCTTTAACCCAGAAGTTGGCAAATTGGACAGTATCTTCTTTAAAAAATCGGTGGTGTCAATTTGACAGTATTCCCCTCCATAAGTACCAACCCCTTCCCCCAAGGTTGGTCACACCTCCAACCAGTTGAAAGGTAACAAGAAGCTCTAGTCTCCAACCTGCCACTCTGGCTTAGAGAGAAAAATCCCTCAACAAATTTACCTTGACAGAATACATGGGGGTGGGGGGTGGGGGGGGTGACTGTGGATTGTGTTGACGTGTCCTACAGAACTGAAACAGAAAAACCGAGAAGTGATCAGAGCAATAGCTTCGCTGCAATTGCTGATTTCAGCAACACACACTCTGGAAAATCAAGAAGTGGTCTGATCTGAATATGTTATCACTCCCTTGATCTCAAGAGATTATAAAGGGGAACTTTGTTAAGGTTCGAGAGGCGTGTCTTAACTGCCTGGCTGGCCACCTGGAGGGCACTCCTGGAGCTCACGGAATTGGCCCCTCCCCCACCCCGAGGGCCCCTCCCCGATGGGCAGGCAGTTATGACAGTTGGGAAGTAGAAGGTGCAGAAGACAGAGAGCAGCTCAACACAAAGAAGAACTTTCTGATCACTCTCCCGACCCAAAATGAACTGGGCTGCCTTCGGAGGGCCTGAGTTCTTCATCCCAGGAGGCATTCAGATAGAGACGGGATGCCCACTAAGCAGAAATATGACAGAATGGTATCAGAGGAGTAAGGGGGGCAGGGAGAGGGGAGGTTATGTGTGCTCATCTCCCTGTGAAGCCTCTCCCATAACTCAGAATGCTTTCTCGCTGGTATTCTTTTATGACTACCACCAGCCATATCTCCATGAGCAGCAAGGAGTAATTAATATCTTGTACAGCATTTCTGAAAGCAAGGTCCATGAGTTACTTCCAATAGCATTGCTATGTGACTATAGAAACCTACTCTAGACCTACTAAATCAGAATCTTTGGGGGGTGGAGCCCAGGAGTCTGTATTTTAATGTTTTGTAGGTGATTCTTAGTAGTAGTGAAAGTTTGAGAATCACTGGCTCAGTGGTTAAAGCACTTTAGAGGTTCAAATCCTGCCTCTACTCAGTGGGTGATCTTTGGGTGGGTTACTTAAATTCCCTGGGCCTTAGTTGCCTAGTCTGTAAAATGGGGCTAATAGTTAATTCCAGCCTTACTGGGGTTTTGTGAGATTAACTAAGATAATGTGTGTAGAGTACTTAGCACTACGTTAGCTGCTGTGATGAGCATCAATTTACAACAGTAAATAATGGCAGTCTCTCAACGATTGGGGATCATAGAGTGGGGAATATGATGCAGGTGCTCAACCAAGCAGGCTAGTCAGTCTCAAACTGACGTGGATCAGAATGACCTGTGGTGCTTGTCCCAGGGCTGATTCTTGGCCCCCCGCCCCGTTCTGAATCAGTTGGTCTGGGAAGGGTCTAGGCATCTGTATTTTTATTACGCTCCGTAAGTGACTCCGGGTTTGCAGTCACATCCTGCAGTGTTTTCTGCTGGGCAGCATAGTGCCTTTGTGGTCAGACAGACGGGTGTTCAAGAACCTCTTCTAAAAAGCTGGATGACCTAGAGCAGATTTCTTAAGCTTTCTTCCCTCTTGCTCCTCTGTAGAAAGACTGTACTAATCCCCATTTCCTAGTAGTAGTTTTCAAATTCATGTAGGCAAAGCAGTTTGCAAAGTGCCTAGTGTGTAGCAAGTGCTCAGTAGTTTCTGTAGCTAAAATCTAACAAAATGCAGCCTCTATCCCTCCTCCGTCTTCATGGACAACGTTGCTATTACTAAGCCCATTTGAGTTAATCAAGTTTCGGTCTTTTACACATCCAGTGCCAACAGAGACCCTGAATATATCTTTTTAAAGATACAGTTAAGACTACCATTTATTGACTAAGAAAGACCTAAGCCAAAGTACCGTTAATGGTTGCAAATACCCCCTTCTTCTTGGGTCTCCACAGAAAAGGACCCTTGAGTTCTGTACCTCTGAGATCACATTGGCTCAATACAAGAGATTAAATGCAAATGGAAATCTTTCTCATCCCCCCTTTCTGCTTTGTAAAGTATTTGACTTAACATTTTCTGTAGGAGGCAATTTTGGTTATTTTTACCTGCCTGATTGATGGCTGGCAACTTGCAACTTTGGTTTAATTCTAGATTTCTGAGATGTCAAGTCTCCCAGGAGAGTTAACTCTTCTAGCCCAGGGAGGATGGGCCCAGCCATCCTTGGCCTTGGGCACCAACCCCCTGTGCCAGAAACCCCACCTGATAATGGTGCATGTGGGTCTCTCTCTCTCTCTCTCTGGCCCAGGTACCATTACTACGGCATTGCGGTGAAGGAAAGCTCCCAGTATTATGATGTGATGTATTCCAAGAAAGGAGCCGCCTGGGTGAGCGAGACGGGCAAGAAAGAAGTGAGCAAACAGACGGTGGCATATTCACCCCGGTCCAAACTTGGAACGTTGCTGCCAGAGTTTCCAAATGTCAAAGATCTAAATCTGCCAGCCAGTCTGCCTGAGGAGAAGGTGACCACATCTGAGGTGTTGCTGGGAGTGGGTGGCTTCCCTTTCTCTCTCTCTGACACAACACACACAACCTCTCTCCCTCTCTTTTTCTCTCTCAGTACGAAATGGTGAGTTTAAAAATATAAAGATAGAGGGGTGTGTGGGTGGATCAGTGGATTAAGCATCCGACTCTTGGTTTCAGCTCAGGTCATGATCTCAGGGTCGTGGGATCGAGCCCCGCATCAGGCTCTGAGCTGGGTGTGGAGTCTGCTTAGGATTCTCTCCCTCCCTCTCCCTCTACCCCCCCCCCCACATGCTCACTCTCTCTAAAAACAAAAACAAAACTAAAAAAAATATAAAGATAGGAATCTGAATAAAATATGGACTTTAGTTAATGATAATGTACCTGTATTTATTCATTAGTTGTGAGAAATGTACCATCCTAATGTAAAATGTTAACAATAGAGCTAATGGATGTGAGGCATATGGGAGGTCCCCATACTATTTTCGGAACTTTCCTGCAAATTCAATACTCTCCTAAAATAAAAAGTTTATCTACCTATCTAACCTCCCTACCTATCCATCTATGATACTACACTGTCTCATTTCACGAAGGAAGAACCCCTTTGCTCTAGATTGGTTTTTTAGAGGATACAGTTTATTTCCCCATGTGCTGCAGAGGATGTTGTGAAATCATAGTCCCATAGACAAGACTTTATAGGTACCGTGAATCAGATAGGTTAGGTCATAGGGTATTTGGAGAAAATGACTGGAAATACATCTCTCACATACCTGTCGTGAAGCAGCCCAGTGCACCAGTAGATGTAGAGCTTCTGCTGTCACTGTAACTGAGACGTGAGTCCTGCTCCCAGGAATCTCAGGCCAAGGGGGAAGATGGATGCTCATGCATAAGCAAACTAAGTTTACATAAAATGAATGCATGTCTACATGCAAAAAGGATATCTGTAAATGCTTGATTTAAATTTAAGAACTAGCAAAAAAAAATTTTCCCCTCAAATTTGCTTTTTTTTTTTTTAATCAGTAAGTTTCCTATATTATAGCTTTAAAAGTCTTGGATAAATGGAGCTGGAGATGAAATTCTTTTGCAGAGCAGATTCCAGGAAATTTCTGAATGTCTTTTTGTCATTTTTGGCAAACACCTCTTCTTAAAAGTACTCACTGGGTTTTAACTTTTCAGTATCTTAGCTGATGAGGAGAATTTAATTAATATACCCTACTGAACTCTACTATGGGCCAGGCGCCGTGCAAAGTGCTGAATACACGAGCATGAATAATATGCCATTTAAATTTTCCCAGGGCCCATCGTCTCACGGGTGGAGAATGGGGGAGAGAGAAACCCATGTTTTCCACTGGATCACAGGGCAGGTGCTCCGATGGAGAAACATGCCCAGATGCCATGGGAGCACAGAGGAGGGAGCTCAGGTCAGAGAGCACCACGAATGAAAGTTAGACTTACTTGGGTCTTATAGGATGAGTAGGTGTTAAGCAAATTTCATCCCCTCAACAGGGAATAAATGACTTGAAAATTGAAATTCCAAGGGAGGGCAGCAGTAATGTGTATTAATTATGCTTTTATTGTTGACACTCCCCACAGGTCTCTACCTTTATTATGATGTACAGAACACACTGTCAGAGAATACTGGACACTGTAATAAGAGCCAACTTTGATGAGGTAGGTCAGTAAGCGTTGAGCTGTGGAATACTCTGTATTAAAATATTGTAGTAGGAGGAGCTCCTATTTCGCAAGCTCCTACCGGGTGCCAGACCTTTGGAAACCCCTGATGTGCATTAGCTCACATGATCTTTCCAGCGATCCCAGAGAGCAAGCACTGTCCTTACCCCTATTTTACATATCTTCTGTGTGGACAGTAGTGGCCTGGCCTGCTCCTTGACCTAACTCATGCCCTGCCTCCTGCCCCGCTGGCTTGCGAGGGAGGTGGTTTCATGGGGTTATCGTTATAGCCAGTATTATAGGTTCAGAGAAACTGAAGGAAAGCTTTCCTATATTTTGGATTTAATCTTTTCCTGAGGCTCCATTTTCTTTTTATTTTAAAATAGTACAGTTAAAGGATGGAGAGGAGAAATAAGAGAGGATGAAGTACCAGTTACATAACCGGAGAGACAATAAAATCTTGCCTAAAATGCCATCCAAAAGAGCCTTCCAGAGGGATGGCAAGAAGCCACACATTTCACCCGATAAACCTGAGGCCTTTCTGTTTCCAGAAAATGCCATCAGGCCAAAAAAAAAAAAAAATCTAAACCCCTCCTCTCCCACCCCCTGGCATAGGTTGTGGACATTGAATTTGAGGACGATGCAGGCTCCAATGGGGCTATAAAAACCAGGAGCTATTGGTGGACAGGATCCCGGAGATTCCCTAATGTGTGTTTTGGGGGGGTGCACTGTGGGAGAGGGGAGGGTACAAAATGGCGTAAAGCACAAAATGCTCTCTCCCCCACAGTCTTGTGCCTTTCTGCTGCCATGTCTCACAACGGTGAACATTCACTGTGTGCTCCACTTAACTTGTGTGAGCTCACTGACTGTTCCCTCATAACCTGGGTGCTGGTGGTTGCCTGCAAGCTGGCACTTGGCTCACAGACCACAGCTCCAGAGGAGATAGCAGGGTGCTGGTAGAGAAGGACTCTTGATCCTGCTCTTGGCTTTTATTCACGAAATTGTTTAAACCTCCCAATTCCTTGAGCAGCCATTGAAGTGGTTTTTTTTTTAAAAGAAAGAAAAATCACTGCTTTCTCTCATGTTGTGGTTTGGCTATGTCTTACATCCCAAAGATCACTGAGATGAGAGCAGATGAAGGTTCATCCTCAGTTCAGACAACACCAGCTTCTGTAACAAATAACCCTAAATTTTAATACATTAGAAGTTTATTTCTCACTGGTGTCATGACCTGGTGTGGACGCTCACAGGGGGAAGGCTGGTTCCTGGGGGTAGTTGAGGGACCCAGGCTCCTTCCATCATGTGGCCACACCCTGTCCTAGAGCCTTGGCATCCTCTTTGTTCAGCTGACCAATGGGGAAAAGGATTACAGGGAAGACATACCCACTTCTTAACCTTGTCAGCCCAGAAATAAAGCACATCATTTTTGCCCGTGTTCCATTGACAAAACTGGTGTCATGGCCCCACTTTGACGGAAGGGGATCCAGTCCCTCCCTGGGCAGCACTTCACTACCACGGAAGAGGAGCTCGGAGCTGTAGGGGCCAGCTGTCTCTCTCCACTACAAGTACTAACCACAGAACTAGTGACCATCCCATGTACTTCATTCACCTCAAAACTCACTCTCATCATCTCGTTGCACTTAATTCCACGCGTTAATCCCAACACTTACTGGGCACCTAATGGCCATGCACCTGTTATAAGTCTCAAGAATGGGGCAAGAAGAAAGACCCAGTCTGGGGGGTGGGGGAATAGGAATGCACACCAGAAATTCAGATGCAGAGTATATAGTGAGGACTGCAGAAACCTTCAGGAGGCTGAGTGCTCCTGTGGGGAAAGTGCCAGACTCGGAGCCCAGGCTCTGCCATGAAGGCCTTTATTGTTTATCCTAGAAATGAAGATAAAAATATTATCCCTGCCTTTCTAATGCATAGGGTTCCTGAAGGGAGAATATGAGACAATGCCTAGCAAAAACCCTTTGTAAACTCTAAAAGGTCATACAAATGCTTGCTCTTATCAGGTATGTCAACCAGAGAGTTAAAAGACTTGCTCAAGGTCACACATTCGGTTAGGGCCAAAGTCATGACTGCCTCTTTTGTCACCTGACACCTCCAGTCCAATATTCTCTCCACTCCCTTAGCAGGGATATTTGGTGGCTGTTTTTTAAATGGGTAATCAAGATGTAGTTCATTCTACTCAGCCACAAAAGAATGAAAGGGGATATTTTCCCTTTGATGGGCATGGCTTTCTCCCACAGCTGAGAAAAGTCATGGGTAAGTGAATGATGGGTGCATCTGGTACACCTTGACATTGCAGTTTGCTTCAGGTCTTCAAGATCTTTAAGGGTTGAGGTCATAACTAATGCTGGGATCACATTCTTAAATTATCTTGTTGGCTGGCTCACTATTTGTCTCTTACCAACACAGTGTAAGCCCTTGAGGGCAGGGACCTTGTCTGTCTTGTTTGCTCCTGTATCCATGTCAGCCATACTCTTGGGCTCTCAGTAAATATTTGTTGGGGAGATGAGTGCATGGATGGATGGGTGAAGGGTTATAAAAATGTCACGGCCTTGTAGCACAGTGAGGCAAGTACAGAGAGCCCCAGTCTGCACAGAGGGGACTCCCTGCAAAGCCTTCTCCAGACTGCATTGCATAAAGAGCTGTCAAGTCCAGAGAGTCTTGTGTTTGAGTCCAAATCCACCACTTACCAGTCTGTGACCTTGAGCAAGGTACATAACCCCTCTGAGCCTCAATTTCTTTGGCCATAAAATGCAGATGATCATTTTATCTACATAAGAATTCATGGAAGTGTCTGATTTTGAAATCAGAGCATAAGAACAGTAAGTATTTTGGTGGCTAATGTTTTGTTGACATCCTTTCAACACAGTAGCAACTAAGTATCCCTGACTGGAAGTTATCAGATGTGTTTCCACAAGGTGCTAGTATATTTGGGATGAAGTAAATACGGATATGGAAAAGAAATAGAAAACCTACATAGGTATTCTTAAGGAAATTGTCTCCTGATGCTTCACTGAGCCAAGAAGGAAAGGGCTGGTGGGAGTTCAGGGGACTGAAGCAGATAATCCAGAAAACTTTAAATAATGCTTTTCCATCCTTTGCCTCTGATGATTTCACCACTTACACTTACAAGGAATAAGGAAACCTCCTCCCTTCTGGCTGAAATCAGTTTCTGTTTGTTAGATGCCTACATGCTGCCAGGCATTTTGCCTCAGTGATCTTATTGGGTCCTAGTACTGGGTAGACATGATCTCTATTTTATAAAAGCTGATAGCTTTCATATTTAGATATTTAGGCCTAAGCTCCAGACTCAGTTGAATTGACATCCAACTTAACGTGGCCAAATCAGAGCTCTGACTTTCCACCTGAATTTGTTTTCTCCATCTCACATTGCCATCACCACTCACCCAGTTGCTCAAGCCACGAATCTTGATGCTTCTTTTTCCCTCACCCTGCATATCCAGCCCCTTGGGAGGTCCCACCAGCTCCACCTCCTGCGTAACACTGTGTCTATTCATTTCACACTCAACTTCTAAGTCTCGGCTCTTGACCTTTCCACTCTTCTCCCTCCTTTTCCTTCTCACTCCAAGGAAAAAGTACCTTAGGATGTTAAATGGCCTGAAATGTGGAGGGTAGAAAGTGAGGTCAAAACTGACCAACACCCCCCTCTCCAAAGGCTGCTTAGGAAACTGAGGACTGATCAGTGCTCCCTGTGCAAGTTGAGCAGGCTTAAAACAGACAGATGCCTGCTAAAGACTGATTTTCCACAGATTTGTTTTAACCTACACAGCCGCTGATCTTTTCCAGAATTTCTGCTAGAAATTGACTGCTCACATAAAAAAAAAAAAAAAAAAAAAAAGGAGTAGGGCTGCATGCAAGGAGAGCTAAGAAAGACAGATGAATTCAGAAGCTACCAAATCGTAGGAATCAACTGGGCAGAGGTTCTTAGGTGGTGTTGGAAGGGCAGGAAGGGAGGTCCAGGGCCCGGCCTGAGGCTGATGCCTGGGACAAGCTGGGATCAGGGAACAATGGAGGGTCCTCTAGAAAGAAAACACCTTATCCAAGAGCCCCGGCCATCTCCAGGCCCAGGCCAAACCCAGCAGTCAGCCACCAGGTGTCCCAATGACAGAACAAGAGCCTTGACAGGTGAGCAGAACCACAATGGGGATCCTGGCTGGGCGACACTCAGAAGCTTAGGCAAGGTGTCACAAAGCTTAGGGGAGTCTGCAGATTTCTTGGGGCTGGTAGTGACAGTGTCTCCGTGATGTAAATCACCACCACCACCACTAACCTTTATTAAGCATCTACTGTGTGCCAAGCACTAAAATAGGTACTTTTTAGGAATCTTTACCAAAACCTATGCAGTAAGTGCTACTTTTACTGCCATTTCACAGGTGAGGAAGCTTACCTATCTCTAAGCTTAGAGATATTACACCCCTGGTTGGCAGTGGGGCCAGGGTTGGAAGTCTGGAAGACAGTCTTCACGCATCTGCATTTTCTGTTTTAATTTTCGATCTGGCTGAATGCTCTGCGATATTTTCATTATTGTGGAATAAATGGAACTGTGACCTAAGTGTCACAGTTTATAAACCTGAACTTCATTCACCACTTTGATCATGTTTTTGTTCAATTACCATGTGCCCCCTAGGAAGTCAGGGGACATGATTTCTCCCCATGCCTTATCTCCTAAGCCTCCCACTCAGTGCAGGCCATGGATGTCAGGGAAGTCTGTCCACAGGAGGCTGAGCTCAGGTCACCAGACTTGAGTCAGAGGTAGCCTGGTCAGAGGAAAGCAAGACCCTACTCCTAGAAGGGGCCTGAGGGACACTGCAAGTCGCCAGGGCAGGGGTAGAAAACTGGGAAGTGGGCAGCCATCCAAGGAGAGCTATGGGTGTCAGGAATGGGGTAGAAGGCCTGTTACCATGAGAAGAACAAACTAGTCATGAGACTGATCGGCCGAATGACTGAGACAGACATGGGCTCCATCTCATCCATTCCCTGACATGCTGTCTGGATTTGGACATGTAAGTTAATATCTCTACAGAATGGGAGCAAGGATTCTCAGCTGTAGTAATATTACAAGTATTCCATGAGAGAACCTATGTGAAGTACCTGGCATGTCATAGTCCCTCGATAAATAAAGCTAATGCCCACAGTAATAATACTACCTCCAAAGTATTAGACAAGGGGTACTAACATATCTTTTGCATTGGATCAGGGTTGATTTAGGGAACCAGGAATATGGGTGATGCTACATGTGAGGGTTCAAGAGTACCCATCTGTGGGGAAAAGAAGGACACATAGTCCAGGAACCAAGTCGAGCCTATGAGAATTCACAAAAATTCAGTCATTCGTTCCCTATCTTCAAGATGAGCCACTCCTCAGTGTTAGCTAAACTCTAGGTCTTTTTTTTTTTAATTCTAGTTATTTTTAATAGTATTATATACATCAGTTAACCATCTTTGCTGTTCCCCTTCACTTCCCTTATCTTGTCCTGCACCCCAGGCCCCCACCTGCTCTCTCCCTGACCTCTAGCTCACGCACTAGAAGCTGGAGGTATACAGGCCACCGAAGAGTTGTCTGCCTTAGATACGGGCTCTGCCGCGTGCTCCTCAGCCCCACAGCCAGGCCCCTGCTGTCGTATTGATAATGCACTCTCGAGTGCCGCCTATTTCTGTTCTGTGCTACCGGTTGGGGTGGGAATGCCCACGTGGCTTACCGCCCGCATACCACTATCTGGCATCCCGTAGTGGCAACAACCAGGGCTCTTTGGGGAATGGAGGAATTTGGATAGGAAGAGGTCCTTGCATTTTCTTCCGGGTTTGGTACACACATTTGAATCGGGAGACTTGTCTGAGACCTGTAATTTCCTCCCTTCGAGATACATGCCTTTTACCAGCACCTCATACATTGCTCCCTTCTTTTTGAGAACACCCAAGGGCCCCCAAAAGGCCCAAAGAATAGTGAGCGCTAGCACTCTGAGTTTGTTAAGAGCAATATCCCACCTTCCCTTCCTTAAACTTCTCCCGGACCATGGTGAGCATGAAGGGGTCACCGGGTTAATGTGCTAGTCCTCTCTCGCAGGGCACAGTCAACCCCAGGCTGCCAGACCAGGTGGTTCTGCAGCGGAAGGGTGTAGCGCACAGATGGGCAGGGGGAAGGTGGGGGCGGGGCCTCCTCTCCCACCGCAGGGGGAACGGACGACCCCACTGCAGGCTGGTGAAGTCCCCAGGCTTTGTTGGGAGGGCCCCGGGTAACCTCACGCTTCTCCTTTCTGTGGGTCAATACAGGTTCAAAGTTTCCTTCTGCACTTTTGGCAAGGAATGCCCCCCCACATGCTGCCTGTGCTGGGCTCCTCCACGGTGGTGAACATCGTCGGCGTGTGTGACTCCATCCTCTACAAAGCTATCTCGGGGGTGCTGATGCCCACCGTGCTGCAGGCGTTACCTGACAGGTGGGCATGCTTCTTCTCGTGACTCGTCCTTAGCACGGATCGTTCTTGCCTCTCTCTCACTGAACATAATCAGCTGCTGTCAGGGGTTCTCCCTTGTAAAGACCGTAGACATTGGGCTTTTAAAAATTCAATTTGATTTACAGTTTTCAATATAAATAAAAATTTGAACATTTCGAACCATTTGTATGGTTCAAAATTCAAAAGGTGTAATGCGGTATATAAAAGTCTCCCCCCACCAACTCCTGTTCCCCAGACACCCCAGACCTCTCCATAGAGCATCAGATAGAGTCATTTTCTTGGTACAGGGTGAGGGTGAGGGGGCACAACCAGATCTGCTGGGCACATATAACCAATGCATATATCATACTCTTGTTCTCTTTCTCACTGAAATGGTGATATACTCTATTATACTGTTCTGCACCTTGTTTTAAAAAAACAATCTTGGAGCTTATGCTGGGGCTTCTGTGCCCCTCCAGATCACTCCCTGCCGTGCCCCATGCTGCCCCTTGTCCTGGGGCTGGAGCCCTCACAAGGCTCCTTTTCCTGTGGCATCCAGCTGGGGTCAGCCAATGGGGAGATCAGAAGGAGAGAGGGAGAAGAGGGAGATTGGGAGATGGACTCTGTCTCCATCCCTGGGAGGTCACCTTAGGCTGGCTGTGGCCATCCACAGGCCTCTGGGGCCTTCCAGCATACCACCAGATCCAAATTCTTCCAGAGTACCTTGTGCTTAGGTTGGAAGCTCGTCCTTCGGACATGGGGTGGATGAGAGCCTCCTGCCTCTACCCCCCCCCATAGCAGTGGTCCCCCTCATGGGCTCCTACATGCCTGTCGACACCTTCATAACTTGTCCCTTGTAAATAAACTCTCCTATTTTGAGTGGCCTCTGTTTCCTGTTGGGACTGGTAGAGAACATTCCACATCAGTCTGTAAAGAGATTTTATTCCTTTTTATACCTGCATACTGTTTCCACTGGACTGAACGTAAACAGTTGTCTTCATGTTTCCAGTCTTGTTTTACTACAAATAATGCTGTGATGGATGATGTACATTCTTTTGGGGGGGGGGGGTGCATTAGCTTCCCAGGGCTGCAGCAACAACGTAGCACAAACTGGGTGGCCCAAAACAACAGAAATGAATTCTCTCATAGTTTGGGAGGCCAGGAGTCTGAAACAAGGTGTTGGCAGCCTTGGTTCCTTCCAGAGATGTCCTCTGTGCCTCTCTCCTAGCCTCTAGTGGTGGCTGGAAGTCCTTGGTGTTCCTTGGCTTATAGATGCATCTCTCCAGTCTCTGCTTCGTCTTCATATTGACTCCCACTCTGTGTGTCTCTCTGTGTCTTATAAGGACACTTGTCATCGGATTTAAGGTCCATCCAGTTAATCTAAGATCTTATCTCAAGATCCTTAATTCAGGGGCTTCTGTGTGGCTCAGTCGTTAAGCTTCTGCCTTCGGCTCAGGTCATGATCCCAGGGTCCTGGGATCGAGCCCCGCATCGGGCTCCCTGCTCAGCGGGGAGCCTGCTTCTCCTTCTCACACTCCCCCTGCTTGTGTTCCCTCTCTCACTGTGTCTCTCTCTGTCAAATAAATAAATAAATAAATCTTAAAAAAAAAAATCCTTAATTCAATCACAACTGCAAATAAGGTCACCTTCACAGGTGCCAGGTGTACATACTGGGGGGGGGGCAGGGGGACACCACTTATCCCACTACATGAACTGTATGTGCAGAATAAGTTCCTACAGGGCTGAATTTTTGGTTCAAAGGGTATGTGACTTAAACTTTTCTCAGTGAAGTTTTGATGTGCATTTCTTTTATTATGAAATTGAGTATCTGTATCTTTAAGAGCAACTTCTGTTTTCTTTCCTGTGACCTCTCAGTTCTTATCCTTTGATTATTTTTCTTTTTGGTGGTTGATGTTTTTCTCATTGATTTATAGGAGCTCTTTATTATTTTTAAAGATTTTATTTATTTATTTGAGAGAGGGAGAGATAGAGAGAGAGAGCATGAGCAGGGAGGAGAGGGAGAAGCAGGCTCCCTGATGAGCAGGGAGCCCGATGCGGGGCTCGATCCCAGGACCCTGGGACTTAGGACCTGAGCCGAAGGCAGATGCTTAACTGACTGAACCACCCAGGTGCCCCCAGGAGCTCTTTATTTATTGGGTATAATAACCATTTATCTGTGTTAAGAGTTGCAAATAGTTTCTCATTTTGCTGTCATTCTTTTGTCTTTGCCACACAGAAATATATTTATGTAGTTGAAGTTATTAGTCCTTGCTTTTATGGCTTCTGGATTCAGTATCATAGTTTTAAACGTCCTCCCCATTCCAATGATTAAGTAATTTTCCCATGGTTTATCACACTAACTTTATGGCTTAATTTTGTACTTTTGAATCTTTGTTCAATCTGGAACTCATCCTGGTGTAAGATGTGAAGTGTGGCTTTGTTTTCTCCTCAGCAGCTATCCTGTTCTCCCAGCACCATATGCTAATTATTCCATCCTTTCTTCACAGAGTTGAGATGCCACTTTTTTTGTATAGTAAATTTTATATGTATTTGGAGCTGTTTCTGGACTTCCTATCCTATGCCATTAATATTTCTATACATTCATGTTCCAGGGTCATTCTGTTTTGTTTTGTGCTTTTAAACATATTTAGTAGGACTAGCTCCTCATACTTACTTTCCTTTTTTAATAATTTCCCTATTATTATCACTTATTTTTCCATATGAACTACCTTATCATCAGTTTGTCTATTTCTATGTATATATACATATATAACATTTGCACATGTATTCTTATTGGGATTACATTACATTTAGAGATCAATTTAGGGAAAATTATATATATATGATATTGAGAATTCCTAACAAAGAACATGGTTTGCCTTGACATTTATTCTGATCTTTAATTTTGTGAGTGCAGGAATTGTAAATGGTTTTTTTTCCATATAAATCTTACACATTTAAAAAAAGTTATTCTATATATTTATCTATTTGTTGCTATTGTGAATGCAGTCTTTTCCTCCATAATTCTTGACAGATGATGGTTTGTGTATATGAAACCTACTGATATCCATGTGTTCTATTTGGAGCTGGCTATGCCAAGCTTATCTTGTTGTTGTATTTCTTTTTTCAGATTCTCTTAGATTTTCAATGTGTAGAATATTACGATCTACAAATGCAGATAATTTTACTGTTGTTTTCTAATTTTTACACCTCTCATTTATTTCTCTTATCTGATTACATTGCCTCAAGAACATGTTGAACTTCTTGACTTCGATGAAAATGCATCTAGTGCTCTATGACATTGTCCTGGCTTTTGGATTCAGACCGATATATTTTATCATGTTAAGGAATGTCTGTCTTTTCTTAATCATTAAATGTTTTATGAAGGATGGTTGTTGAATATTATCCAATGGTTTTCATCATCTATGGAAATTATTTTATTATCCATCTCCTAATACGGAACCATTCTCACATTCCTAGAATAAACCCACTTGCTCATAGTATATTTTTTTAATGTGCTACAGGATTTTATTTCCTAATGTTTTATTTAGAGTTTCTGCATCAAAGTCATAAAGTGAGATTGGTCTCCAATTTTCTTTTTGTGTTTAATCTTCATTAGTTGTTGGTATCAATGTTATTCTTGCTTCATAAAAGAAATCTGAAGCTTCTCCCCACCCCCATTTCCCCTAAGTTCTGATACACTTTAAATAGCATTGAAATTATTTGCTCTTGAAGACTATATGGAATTAATTCCCCTTTGAAGGCATCTGGGTGTGGTGTTTTGTGGGAGTAAATCTTTGAAATTTTTCTTTTTTTTTTTTTCTATAGTAATTGGTTCGTTTAGATTTTCTGTCTTCTCTGAGGTAAGTTTTGATAAGTTATATCTTCCTAGAAAATATCCACTTCTAGATCTTTAAATTTATTTGCTTAGGGTTGAGCAAAGTGGGTTTGTAGACTCATTGAGTTTCCTCTGTGTCTGATTATTTCTGCTTTAATACATTTTAGTTGGTGTAGTTGTGCTTTCTGCTACTTGTTTGTGATAATTTACCTGTTTTATTTTCTCAAGAAACATTCTCTTAGATATATTTATTGGTGCTATTACTCTTTCTTTTTTTTAATAAATTAAATTCTTTTATTTAACTCATTTATTTTACTTTCCTAAGTTTACTCTGTTCTTCATTTATTCAACAAATACTTTATTGAGCGTTCACTCTATAGTTTGTTGTTTTATGAGTGACCAAAAACAATTGACAAAAATTATTTCGTTCTTGTTTAATAATATAAATATTTCAGGCTTGGGTTTTTCTTTGAGCACTATTTGAGCTGCATCCTGTAGGTTTTGATATGTAATATTTTAACCTTGTTATTTTCTAGATATTTTGCAACTTTAGTCTGGAGTTCCTCTTTGTCCTAAAAATTTTAAAAGAGTACTTAAAAACTTCCAATTGTTAGGAACTATTATCTTCTGGTTATGTTATTCATTTTAGCTTTTTATTGCCTTGTGATTAGTGACTGTTTTCTGAACTATTTCTTCTTTTGAGATTTTACTTAGATTTTATTTATTGTCTAATATATGGTCAATTTTGTGACCCTTGGAAAGAAGAAGCACTCTTGTCTTTGAAGTACAGACTTTGGCAGATCTGTATTTGGGTCAATATTATTGTTATTTCATTCCTTTTTTTTTTAAGATTTTATTTATTTATTTGAGAGAGAACAAGCAGGAGGTAATGGCAGAGGGAGAGGGACAAGCAGTGATCTCTGATCACTAGTGAGTTGAACATCATTCCAAGTTTTCGGAATATTGAAGTCCCCTGTTCAGTAAAATACCTGTTAGAATTCCTTACCCATTTTTTTTCCCTACTGGTATGCTTGCCTTTTATTATCTCTGTGTGTGTGTAATTTCTTTTTTTTTTTAAGATTTTATTCATTTATTTGAGAGAGAGAGAAAGAGAGCACAAGCAGAGGGAGAAGGACAAGCAGACTCCCTGCTGAGCAGGGAGCCC